AGGTTTATTTTGGACATCAAACTAAATTAGAAAGTATTCCATTATTGTTAGGCAAAAAACAAACAAGTATGTTGATAAATCTGTTAAACAATGTGTGCCTAGTCAATGAGGAGTCATGCGGTTTGTATTCTATGTGTGCCTAGTCAAAGGCTGACTGTTGGGGGCCTGAATTCTACRATCTTTAGTGAAATAAGTTCATTAATGTGAGAGTTATTGGCAGCGCTGTTGGATTGAACTTAACATTCTCCATAACCTTCTTGCAATGTGCCTTCCAACAATGCCAATCGATCACTGTACTTAGATCTTTAATGCAAATTGCATAAGACATTTAGGTATATCTCTATTATTGAATATTTTTATTATATTAAACAAAAATAAGTGTGATAAATAAAAATTAAATTGTAGAAGATTTTGAAAACATATTCTTTAGTAATATCATCATAATAAAAGATTGTCACATGCAAAGCACGTGCACACTTATTAATCTATACTATATAAAGTGTGAATGTAGTGTGGAAGTTTTTTTGGACTACAATTACCTTCTATTTCTTTATTTGATTAAAGGTATAAAAGTCACTTTATTATAACTTTAATGGCTATTAAAATGCCCATATTTTTGTATTTAATCCATCTCAAATTATAAGGGTTGAAAATATAACTTAAATTATTACTTTTCACATCATTTAATCTCCTCTAATTAAGTCTTATACTTAAGGTATTAAATCCCATTTTTCTCTTATTAAATCCTATATTTTTAAGTTATTTTTTACTAATAAATGCTACTAATTAGATCTATGTCAATATTTTTAACCGTACAAATCCATATATATTAAAGTTTATTAAAAAACAAAACCATTCTTTATCTAAGTTGTGGTTAAGAAATTCAACCATCCAAATCAAACTGATCAATCTACGAAGTCATAGTTAGGTAATACAAATTTTAAAATAGAAATAAATATAGAAAAACACAAATAATGTAGAAAAATTAGGCACATTTATGTAATCAAATTATTTTTATTGGTAATGAAAATGAAATACATAATTTAGAACCGGCCAAAAATGAAATACAAAAATTAATAATAAATAGTTCAACTTTTGGGTTAAATGTATTAAACTTTAACGTCATAAATAAATAATAAAAATTAATAAAATATAAAAATAAAAAAATAAAAAATACATTATTTTTGCAAAAAAAATGTATAAGATTATGGAATTTTATTTTGACTAAAATACTCATTTTTGAATTTAGTCCCTATTCAATTGTGAGGTTTAAGTTGTAAATTGAACTATTACTTTTCACCATATTCAATTTACTCTATTTACATTTTTTTTATAAATGAACAAAAAAAGATACACCATACTCAAATTCGAACTTGTGAGCTTCAATTTTCAAGATCATTTAGTTTTCAAACTTTCGAACCGAACTTTAACCTATTGAACACTTAATCGAATCGAACTTGAACAGAAAAATAGAGTTCAAATAGAACTTGAATTCGAACTCAAATTTGATCATATGACTATATTAGTCAAACTGAGCCAATACATGTAAAAGTTTGACTTGGCTTACTTCAATTGCAGCCCTATTCCACACGTCAAGTTAGAAAATAGACATTCTTAAAAGAAATGAAAAACAATTAATATATATATAGAGAGAGTAAGGTTATACAGAGGTCGGTTCCGTTTCGTTGTATATAATTTATCCAACTAAACCGATGTCTTTGTGTTTATATTCTTGTCACATGAAACTGACTGCGATAACCTAAAAACCAAATTAAATATAGACTTATAGATTTGGTCGATTTCTCGATCTTCTCCATTTGTGGTAGCTAATCCTACATGTAAACCTATATGTATACTGTGGTGTGGTTTAGAGTCTAAAAAATAAACCTATTTGTATACTAAATCCGTACAGTGGAAGATCCTAAATTTGATACTTTTTACACTAAAAATATTCTCTTAAATGAAGGGATTCGTGCTTGGATGGTAGCTCAGGATCAGGCTCATGAAAACCTTATATTCCCTGAGGAAGTTTTACCACGTGGAAACGCTCTTTCATGGAACTTTAGCTTTAGCTAGTCATGACCAAGAAACCATCGGGTTCGCTTGGTGGGCTGGGAATGCCCAACTTATCAATTTGTCCAGTAAACTACTTGGGTCTCACGTCGCCCATGCCGGATTAATTGTATTMTGGGCCGGAGCAATGAACCTATTTGTAGTGGCTCATTTCGTACTAGAGAAGCCCATGTATGAACAAGGATTGGTTTTACTTCCCCATCTCGCTACTTTAGGTTGGGGGGTAGGTCCTGGTGGAGAAGTTATAGACACCTTAGATAGAAATAAAATGATCACAATTTTGGGTATTCACCCCGGGGGGGGAGATGTAAGAAAAATAACCAATTTGACCCTCCCTTAGCCCAAGAGTTATATAATTCATTTAATGCTTTAAGAATAAATAAACCATAAAAAGTAACAACTCTATCATTAAAGATAAATCCTTCCTAATGATAATTTCGAATAGGCTTAGATGTTATTTAAATTTACTAGATTAAAGGCAGTTTGGTTTGTACACTGGTAAACCAAAAATCGATCCGATTGTTGGGTTTTATTTTTTCTTGAACTAAAACTGGTTATTAATATTTGAAAAATCGATCAAATCGGTTTGAGTCAGATCAGTTCGGTTAATTTCATGAACAATCCTAAGAGAGAGAGAGGCTTCTACTATTGTTAAACACATTTGAGTGTTTCACAAATTGGCTAGTAGCTTTWAAAGAGTGAAAAGTAATTAATGAGTAAAAATATAAAGGGAAAATTCCCGATTAATACTCTGTACTTTGGCCCTCAAACTTTAGAACATGACAATTCAGTACTCAAACTTTCAAAACGTGCCAATCTAGTATCTACCGTTAACCAACTGTTAAGTGGCATTTGAAAAGACACAAATGCCCTTCAAGTGTCATCTAATTTTCTTTATCAGCCATCCAAACGTTGATAATAAATGAACAATCTCAAATCTTTGTCTCTTTTATTCAAGAAAGTTGGGGTCATGTCTCAATGGGTATTTTGGTTACTCCAACTTTCTTAAATAGAAGAGACAAGGATTTAGGACTGTTTGTTTTTTGTCAACGTTTGGATGACTGATAAAGAAAATTATATGACACTTGAAGGGTATTTGTGTCTTTTCAAATGCCACTTAACAGCTGATTAATGGTTGGTTAATGATAGGTACTAAATTAGCACGTCTTAAAAGTTTGGGTACTAAATTGGTCACATTTTAAAGTTTGGGAATCAAAATAGCACTAGACCCAAAGTATAGGATATTAGTCAGAAATTTTCCCAAATATAAAAGACTGAATACATAGTGATGATGTGAATTTCGGTAGCTCCCCGGTTGGCAGGTGACTCGGATGCCTAGCTAAATGGTTCCTAGCTGAAGGTGGCTCGGATACCTAGCTAAATGGTTCCTACCTATAAGGTGGCTCGGATGCTTGGTTGAATAGTTCCTACCTGGAGGGTGGCTCGGATGCCTGGCTGAATAGTTCCTACCTGGAGGGTGGCTCGGATGCCTGGCTGAATAAATCCTACCTGGAGGGTGGCTCGGATGCTTGGATGAACAATTCCTAGCTGGTGGCTTGGACACCTAGTTGAACAGTTCCTAGCTAGTGGCTTAGACGCCTAGCTGAACAGTTCCTAGCTGGTGGCTTGGATGCCGAGTTGAACAATGACGAGCTGTATAATTTACTGGGGCGGTCTGCAAGGAAACAATGTTAGAGTGCCAGGGTTGCTTTACTTGGGGTGGGCACTCCAATGCTTAAGTCAACGAATAAGAGATTTTTAAGAGAGCTAAATGTGAGAGAGGTGCGAGAGCTAAATTGTGCATGTACCTTCTGAGGTTGGAGGTTAGGCCCTTATATAGGCATTGTTTGGCGTGGGTTTCACGGACCGCGTCCGAGATCTCCAGGAAGATGTGCCTAACTGATTCAAGGTCATCGGAGGTAGACGTGCACATAGACCAGTCTTTGTGCCTTATTCGGTTTCCTCCGGAATATTCGGTGTGGGAACTAACTTCCGAGAGACTTAGGAGTGACGGGATGCATGCAGAATTGGTTGGTGAACACGTTTCACAGGTCGCCACCTGGACCTCAATTAAGTCGACAAGCCTTCGAGGGGTTCGCTCCTCACGTCGAATTCACTTCAGCTGGTACTGACGATGTACCACAGGTTGGTCCTGGACAAGGTGCTGCTAGGCGCCTTGAGTTGTGGATGAGGTCACGAGCTAGATTTCCACCAGGTCGGCGGAGGCAAGTTGCCAGGTTGGTGGCAGAGGTAGGTTGCCAGGTTGACGGCAGAGGCAGGTCACCAGGTTGGTGGTGGAGGCAAGTTGTTTGGTCGGCGGCAGAGGCAGGTTGTCAGGTCAATGGCAGAGGTAGGTCGCCAGGTTGGCGGCGGAGGAAGGTCACCAACTTGGACTCCATCATTCTGGCTAAGGAAAATCATTGCCTAGGTGATGTTAGAGTGTCATCCAACTGTTTTGAAATGCCATGTGTCATGATGTCAGTGGAGGGCCAAATCTGCCAGACATTAAAAACTAAATATAATAAGGTTAAGATATAACTGGTTCAAATCGGTTTATTTTTGGTTTAGGAACCGAAAACCGAAATTTACCATTCAGTTTATACATATGGATGAATCGAAGCCAACCCAAAAACTTAAAAAACTAGCTATATCGGATCGGTTTGCGCCAGTTTGGTGAGTTTTGTAAACAGATGGGATAAGGTGATTAAGTGGTTGTTAGAAGGGGATAACCTAAAAAAAAAAAATGACGGACAGCTGATTTGTGCTCTCCGGAGTCCGGATTTTTCATCAAACAAAGCAATAGCTTAAAAGCTATCATTATAGGGCCCACCTCGGAAAGCCAGAAGCCGCTGCGCGTGCAGCACGTCAGCCACAAAGGGTCGAGCTCGTCACGGGCTTACCTCAAGGTCCTCAACCTAAACTCGATCCAAAGGGTCGAGCTTAGCACGGGCTCACCTCAACGTGTGTGGATAAGGTGTAGTCATCTCATCTCCCACTCGGCCCTGATAAACACTCTCGAACTCCTACTTCGACTCTTTTCACCGTTGCACTCAAAGAACTCATCCAATCCAAAAGCAGCGCCACGCTCTCCTCTATTATGCGCCCTCCGCCCTGGTCGCATTTCCTAAATTTCTTCTGAACAACGTCAACTGTTCAGCAGCAACACAATTCACGGAAGGAGTGTAGGGTTCTTAACCTGCGCACCCTCCATGGCTGGGCTTACCAGTAGTTTCCCTTTCAAACCTTTCCTATCTCAAAGAACACCTCCTTCTACGCTCTGTCTTTCCCCGCTTGAATCCAAGCTATTAGGAATTCGCTTATGTAACCCTAATTCCGCCAGAATCGATTGCAGCGCCTCCCTTTCCTTCGCTCCTCAGGTTTCAATAACCGCCCGGTTTGGCGGATACCGGCCGAGTCCCGGAAATATAAGGCGGTCGAGAGACACCCGGAAGGCCGAGTTTGAAGCCGATTCTGCACTCGATATGTCCAGTATCAGGTACTGTGTTGCTTGCTGTTTAATCTGTTCTATATTCAAAATTCCAGTTGAATTCAGTGAGGGTCGCCACTCAGACCAAGTTTCTGTTGTTATTGTTGTTGTAATGATTTGGAACAGGTCAGATTCTGTAAGACTTATAGATGAGCAGCAGAATATGGTCCGTTTCATAACTTTCACGGTTTGGATTCAACATTGTTAAGTCTTTCATAAATCGAATTGAATTGATTCCTTTTTCCCCAGGTTGGGGTGGTATCTAAAAGCGAAGCCATTCAAATGGCGGAGGATGCTGAACTTGACCTAGTATGGGATTCCCTTCTTAAGTCAACTTTTACTCGTTTTTTTTTTTCTGATTTTACTGATATGTTCTTTGAAACTTGTATAAAATGACTGTCTTGTTATCAATTCTTCATCTATATATTTAAATTATCCATATTGTTTTATTTTCTCTTGATAGTGTATATTACCTCTGGAGGGAAAATGTGGTAGGCTTTTTTCTATCCAACTCTACTCAAGTTAACTTAAACAAAATCTTACTCCAACTACTTGGGTGGGGCAACACGAATCTGGTTGTGACAATCTACTCTATATAGGTTTTACCTGGTTAAAGCGCATTAAAACGCATTAGCATAAAATACAGGCCAGAATTTATACCTAAATATGGATTTCAATGTTTTATTCCGATTCCCAATTAGGAACAAGGCTCTTTGGTCTAGTAACCTGTAATTAGCAATGCAAGGCAAAATGTTCAATTCTCAGAGTAATTTCTTTTATTTACTTCTTGTTTGTTCTAATGTAGGCTGCTGTAATGGTTCAATCTTGTCAAGTTAAATTTGGAACCTTTGGTTCTCATTCTTGAGGAAGTAGGTTAACAAACTTGGTATTTTAACTTGTGGTCACCTTTTCAAGTAGCAACAAGTGCACAAATATGTCTCTTTAGAAAGCTTATTTTATCAGTCAATTAGTCCAAGATTGCAAAATTAGGCTGAAAGTTGAGAAGATATGTCAAAACCTTACATAACCTTCCTACTCTAATCCTCCTACATGATCTTCATTGGAAAAATGTCTCACTATTGAAATTGGGTTTATTCTCTGATAACTTTCCTCTTATTTGTTTATAGGTAGTAGATAGTAGGGGGTTTTGTACTTTTGTTATTCTAGAATGGTTAGGCCCGTTAGGAGAGTTGGAGATTCTGTAGTAAGCTATACTTTATAGGCATAGGCAGAACTTTCTCCCATGCATGTCTTCAAATATAACTTCTTAATCTCTTTAGGGAGAATTAATCCAGATTGGATCTTTATAAGGTATAAGTTATTAAATTCAGATTTTGACAAAATTTACATATGTTCAATGTGAATCTGATGGTTTAGAACTCGTGGAAGTCCACCTAATTAATGCTGCTAGTTGTCTGATCCAGTGTAACTGGCAAGTGGACTTCAGTAACAATATGTAAATCACACTTCATCTCCATATGTACTTTTCTGATTCTGATATGCTCTACTAATCTCAGGCACTGAAGAGTTGCTTTTATCTCTGCTTTCACTGAGTCATCTTGTCCTATTAGACCTGAAAGGACTATAATTATGTCTTCTGTTGTATTCCTAAATGCTCCCTCTGAATATGATAGTTCTAGTTTCATTTCACAAGGAGTAGCAATCAAAATTCAGTTTTCTTGCTCCTTGAGGAAGAAGGGTCCAGCTCCATCTTTTTCAGTGTTTCATAGGTGATATTACCACATGAGCTCATTATGAAATCACATAATATAGGAAAAATATCTCTGAATTCCTCCCTAGTCCTAGCCAAATGTGCTACTCTACTGGTGATGGGATGGATAAGAGTATCACAAATCTGCTCCCAGTACTGAATATTCAACCATTCTTTTCCTCTCAAATGCTTCAAGGGGTGGCTTCTTTGGTATATCTCCACATAATCTCCCCCTTTTTGTCCTAGGTTTGGGGGGGGGAGCGAATGCTGTAGAGAAAGGCTGGGAATATCTGTTAGTGACTGCCTGCTGTCAAGGTAGTGCAAGAAAACATCTCCTAATCCTTGAAATTTGAAACAAATGAGCATCTAACAGATGAGTTGCCTTGACTTTGGTGCCAATTTTTCCTTCTAAAATGATGTGTTCTACATGTTTCACTGTTCACCAGGTTATTGGGGCTGGATAAAATTTCAGTGCAAGGGAATTCTTTTTCGACTCTCAAAACCCTAGGTCAATAATAGATGTTCACTTTTACCATAAGAACCCAGGTTAATGGATTCTTTAAAGTGAGATTGAGTGGAAACTCAGAAGAAATGCTTCTTTCACAGAGATCACTGGCAGAAATGGGGGTTTTTTGTGCGATAACAAAGGAAAGCCTCCTTTTATCTTTGCAGAAAGTCTCCATCTGATTAAAATCATTGTGAACAGGCTTCAAATTGTTCATAGAGTTGTAAATCTGCTAATCTGTATAGAGAACACAATGTTAAAATCTAAAAAAGTCTTTTGTTGCTAAACTTGCGTTCCAATATATCAACAACCTGGAAATTGCAGCATAGGATATTGTTGAACCAACCAAGCAGTAGATTTTCTTATAACATTTTGTTTTACTTTTTACAACTAAAATGGCGTTCTGTTGTTTTGTACCCTGTGTTTTAAAAGCAAGAAGCACAACTAAAGTGCAAGGTGTTCCTACTTCCTAGAGCCTAAGGCATGATGTGTGTGCTTAAATGAAGTGAGATACCACCTAGAGATAAAAGGAAAACTTAATATATAATATTCTGAAAGAAATAAAATCCTACTAAAAATTATAACTACAACATGCAATATAGTAATTTACCTACTAAAACATTGAATTCAATGTTAATTAATCAAAACATAGCAACAAGCCAGCCAGAGGGCACCCCATAAAATGAGCCCTCCCTATGATCTTGGGCATGTCTTTTAAAGCACCGGTTATCATCAAATTCTATAAGGAAGAATCAGATCTCTTAAGGGACTCTTGCCAAGAGAATCCACTAAACCTTTCACTGAACATAAAATTCAAGAAAATGAGATATTCAGAGGAATTTCTGATGGCTGGTTTGTCTAAAGGTGTGTGAGAGTTGCTGCAGGAAATACTTGTCTTAAATCTTAATACAATAAACCACTAGAGTTTCTCAAGTTTCCTTATGTAATAACCATTTGAAAGAAAACCTCATATTTAGATCATTTAAGATGTTCGAAGAGGGGAAAAAGCTTGAGATGGCATTCTTTTACAAGATTCTATTCTTTGATTCATGTTATTCAATATTAGATGCAGCTGAACTAGCCTTTAGCACAGTAGAGAGTACTTTTAATATCACCCAGAAGGGGCATGCTTGATTTGATGTAGGAACAAAGACTTATTAGTTTCCTCTTGCTATTCTATTTGTCTAGTCTATTATCAAGGAATAAATACATCATGGCAGAAGTTGTCTACTTTTAGAACCTTACCTGGCTCTTGCTTTGTTAACTTTCGCATTGAGCTGCATATGCATTTGAAAAATTGATTATTCTATTCAGGAACTCATATGGTATTTAAATATCTTTTTCTGCAGGTAATATTATCACCAGATGCAGACCCACCAGTTGTCAGAATAATGGATTACAAGTATGGCTTATTTTAATCTGCTCTAGTATTTGTTTTCTTTTCTAGAAATTGGAAATTATCTCAGTTGCATTCCAAAATATCTTCTTCTGTTTGTAGATGTTATCTCTAATGTTTCTGAAACAACAGCCATTATGGTACCCCTTAAACTAACATATGCATACATCAAGCCTTTGAGATACTTGAGAGTAGTAAAGGAAATCCATGTCCTTCAGACATAGGGGATGCCTTTAGAGATAAGGATGGGTGTTTGATAGATTGGCCCAGCAGGGGATGGGGGCTCAATTAGACCTGAGCTCCTTGCTGCACTTCAAGGGGTTCAGTTAGCAAGACGATGAATCTTGAAAAGTTCATCATTGAAGGGGACTCCAAGTTGGTGATACAGGTTGGTTGAAGAACCGGAAACAGTTATCTGGGATTACAGAGGAGGATATAAAAAGGTTAAAATGGCTCACCAGTAATTATCTATCAAAAAAAAAAAAAGGCTCACCAGTAATATGATTTCAAGAGCTCAGCGAGAAAGAAGATCAGCTAATGGATTGGAAGATACTTTATCTAAACAAGGGGTTTCCAGGGATCATTTGTAATCTTATTTTGTTGTTGTGTTGTTGAGAGTTGCACCTCGCACCTTTCAGTGGTTATTTGTGAAGTTCATTTCTCTTTTAATAAAATTCCTCTTTAGTTATTAATGAAAAAAAAGTAGATGTGCATGCATATATTATAGGTATAAATTTTTGGTTTTTGTTAATGTGGTTGTAGGCCTGATTCACATGTAAAATATATCATCCCATTAAGAAATTGCTAATTGTTACTTTCTTTTTAAAATATAATTCTAGTAGTATCTTGATATTAGGAACATCATTTTAGGATGCTGTTTTTATGAGGATTGTTAATGTTCACATTTATTTATATACTACTTCCCTTCACTATTCTATACCTAGGTTGTCATAACTGCGATTTTCATTTGAGTGTTTTTTTGATTTCTTGTTCTCTGTCATTTGAGAGAGAGAGAGATTGTATTYTCAAATCGATAATCCCCTCCTAGCTTCCTTTCCTTATTTATATACTGCTGTTACAATTCTGTTATACCCGCCTCTCCACTTGTCCAGTTTGTTAGTTAGTTTGTTCTAGTGGTTGGCTGTTAGTTACATTCTTTAAAGGCTGGCGTGGCCTTTTCTTGTACACTCGTATTCCCTTTATTTGTGTCTCAACAGTCCCTCCTCCCTTGAAAGCGACCTTGCCCTCAAGGTCAAGATGTAGAAACCTATTATGTAAATCCAAGTAAGGTTCCCAAGTTGCATCCTCAATTGGGAGACCTGACCATACCACCAATGCCTCTGGTTCGATGTGATTCCCTTTGCGTATTCACCTGAAATCTGTTCCTTAGGTTCTTGGAAGATCACTGAGAACTTCTGAAGTAGCTGCTATAGTTGTGTGCGGCCTTCTTCGGATCTGCTTCCTTGGGCTAGAATGGGGCCGTTCCCGTGGGAGTCTATCTGCATTAATATGATGTGGGCTGGGTCTGCTGCCTGTTTCCTTAGGGAGGCGAGACTAATGGGGCCTGGACCCTTGGACAACTGCCCTTGAATATGCACCTGTGAGCTGCCCACTTGAAAATCCATGGTGAGGCGGGCCCAATCACATATCACCGGCCCTAGTTGCCTTAACCATTGGACTCCGAGAACTACATCTGCTCCACTGATTTCCAAGGGGTGCAGATCTACCTCGAACTCATGTCATTGTATCTTCATCTTTAATTCTGTGCATGTACTGTTGCACACCAGGTTGCTCTCATTAGCTACGTGCACCCGGAAGGCTGTACATGGTTGGACCGGAATCCCTAGTTGTCCGACCAATGTTTGGGTAATGAAATTGAGAGTGCTGCCACTGTCTATCAGAACTGACACATGGCGCCCTTGTACCAGTCCGGTTACTCTCATAGTTTGAGAAGAAGCAAGACCGGTCAAGGCTTGCAGGGATACTTCCGGGTATTCCTTTGTCCATTGCCCCCATTCTTGGTTGTCCATTGGCTCTTCAATGTCTGTTGATTGCTTGACATATTTGGTTTCAGGTTGAAGGAAGAAAACTTGAGTGATCTTAYAGCGATGGCCCAACCCAAATTTGTCTCCACATGCATAACAAAGGCCCTTTTCCCGTCGGGCTTGCATCTCAGCTCATGTTAACCTCTTGGCTGAGCTGGGACCTGAACTAGAGTTGGCGTCCTTGCCTGTGATTCGTACTCCTAATCTGGGCTCCGGTTTACCCAAGATACCTGGTTTTGGGTTCGGTATACCTGGTATGATCACAACTCCCAAAGGTTGATTAATCCTTCTTGCCCGATTCAGTTTGTCTTCATGTAGTCGAGCTAATGCTGTTGCTTCAAGAAGGTGGTGGGCTGCATGGCTTTTACCTCCAGTCGCAGTTCTTCCCTGAGTCCACCAACAAAACTGCCGACAAGCGCGTTTTCTGGCCAGCCTTGCACGCGCACAGCTAATCTTTCGAACGCCATCTGATAATCTTGGACGGAGCTGGTCTGTCGTAGCTTAGCGAGGCTTTCATCATAGTTCTCAAAGGCTGAGACTCCAAATCGCATGGTTAAGGCGTCAGTGAAGTCTGCCCATGTGGCTCTTGGGTGTCGTCGCTGGTACCACTAGTACCAGACGATCGCCTCTCCTTCCAGGTGTGCAGAAGCTAATGGGACACAATCAGGTCCCTGTGTGTCGTGGTAATCGAAGTATCTTTCTGTTCGCAGAAGCCAGGGTGTGCGATCTCCCCCTGCGAAGATGGGAAACTCGATTCTTGCTGTTCTTGATCTGCTTCGATGACTGGTGTCACTGCGCTCTTCCTAATTCGGTGCAGGTGGTGCCTGTGCCAATCGTTCAAGCAAGGATGCGAAGCTTTCTTTGATTTCTTTGACGTCAACCGATATTCTTTGCATTTCTCCTTCCATGTTGTCGACTCTGTTCTCCATTGCGGGTGACCTTGTGCTTGGCATCTTGGCTCTGATACCAACTTGTTAGGGACTGCCTAACTCAGGGACTCTTTCGAGGGAGCCTACCTCCTGAATGAGAGAGAGAGAGAGAGAGAGATTGTATTCCCAAATCGATAATCCTCTCCTAGCTTCCTTTCCTTATTTATATACTGCTGTTACAATTCTGTTATACCTGCCTCTCCACTTGTCCAGTTTGTTAGTTAATTTGTTCTAGTGGTTGGCTGTTAGTTACATTCTTTAAAGGCTGGCGTGGCCTTTTCTTGTACACTTGTATTCCCTTTATTTGTGTCTCAACATTTTTATATTCATAAAAGTGTATTTATATATTATTTTCATACAATTGCAGCAAATACAGATATGAACAGCAAAAGAAAAAAAGAGGACAACAGAAGAAAAGTGCTGGTGAATGTCTTTTTCCTCTTCTGTTATGCTTTAATTCATTGATCAAGGTGCAGTATGTATTACAAGTGGAAGTTAACAAATAAATGCTCCTACTGTGCAGCCAACCGTATGGATTTGAAGGAACTCAAAATGGGGTATGATTTTCTATGATTCTATTTCTGTATATTTGATTTTTCATGTCTCTCCTAAAAATATGACTTTGACAGATGTGTATGGCTAAATGGATGAGTGGTAAAATTAGAAAGGACAGGGTAAGAAACAAAGTCATACGAAAGAACTAGGAGTAGCTCCAATATGTGAGAAAATGAGAGAAAGTAGATTGAGATGGTTTGGTCACGTGCATTAGAAGACCATCTACAGCACCTGTTAGGAAAAGTGATCTATTACAAGCTGAAGGGGCTAGAGGAGCTAGGGGCAGATCAAAAGGGCTTTGGTGGCAGTAATTAGAAATGATTTAAATGTTCATAATTTAATGATGGATATTGCCCTGAAATGGAATGGTGAAACAGGGTACATGTAGCTGACTCCATATTGCTGGGACAATGCTTAGATGATGATTATGTCTCTCCTAAATTGTTCTGTGGTCTTTATTTGTTTTTCTATACATCTATTTAAAGGTTTAATTGTTTATGGTCCTAATAATTTTATGTACTTGTAATAGTCTATCTCATTCCATGACTTTTAGATGTTGGCATGCTGGTACATGTCAATATACATGGATACTTGGCACCTATGCCATGTACCTAAGTGCCATTGATTGAAACACCAGTATGAAGCTTATGGGAAGCAAGAAAATCTTGAATATTTAATTGAAAGAAGATCGAATCGAAAACCATTATTGATTTACTAACTATTTTAGTAGTATATTGGATCATTTTGTGATGAGTAATAAAAAAAATTATTGTATACAAATTTAAAGATTTACAAAAGGGACCTAAACCCAAAATTATTTTACACTATACTGCCTTTCTTCACCTGAAAGAATGTAATGAAACAAAAATACATAATCTTTACTCTTGAAACCCTTGGAAAAAATTAGAGACTAGTCCATCCATGAGCTGTTGACATTGGGACATATGCACACCAAAGGCCTCTGTAGCCTTCTGAGATAGCCCGGCAAATAGAAGAAGGAATTACAGAGCAATCCCTACTATCTGAAAGGATGAAAGCCACAGAGAACTTCATTCAGGGAAAGAGCTTGAAACATGAAGCAAGAGAATCCCTATAAAATGAGGTGTATGGGCAAGAAAGAAAAATATGATTTACTGATAGATAAATTTCACATAATGCATCTATTTTGGAGTTGCACATGCCTTCTATTAAAGTGATCAATGTTAAGGGCTTCAAGGAAAACAAGCCATATGAATGTCTCTCCTAATGAGAGGGAAAAGACCTCCCAAAAATCCCATCTAGAACATTCTCATCTCTCTAAGGAAAACTAAGTGTATCTTCAACCTTCCTAAAAAAGAAAGAAAAAGAAAAGAAAAGAAGATACTACAAGGTCTTCCTACTCAAAATAGGCCCAGGAAAGAAAGGATTCTAGATGATTAAATCAGCTTGCAGTGCACGGGGAAAAATTCATAAACAATTCAACTGTCTATTTGAGAAGAGATCCTACATAGCCTTGTAGAAGGAGAGCTGTGAATACCAGTGCCATACTAAGCGGCCTTCGAAAGTCTAACCCAGTACCATCTCCTAACTAAGACTCTGCTAATGGTGTCTAATCTTCATAAATTTTGATGATACCTTTCACAAACCTCATCCCAATACCTCATAGGATGAACTGGCTGTTCTAGAAGAAGCCCAGCGATTAATGTATGCCTCATATTTGGAAGCCACAATCCTCTCCTCCCTTTGTAATCTCCATAGCCACTTGCCATGAAGAGCCTTATTCATCAGTGCCTTCTATTAGAAGCCATTCCTTCCAAATGTTTAGTGTGACAAACTCATTTCCATTTAACCAAGTGAAATTTACCCTTTATCTCCCCTTCCATTCTAAAATTCCATCTTTTTGGAGCACATGCCTTCCAATTGTTTCAGGTAATAAACTTATTTTTATTTAACCAAATGAAATTTATGCTTATTCTCTGTCCACTCCAAAGAAAGTCCTGTTATTTCTCCAATATCTTAGCTATTGACAACTGCATCTTGATTTTGGAAGCATGATAGATGGGAACACTGGCTAAGAAAGAAACTATTCCAATCTTCAAGTCTTCCRCCATCCTCCTAACAATTGGATCTCAATCCTGCTTAGAGAACTACTGCTTAAAGCCCAATGGGAAGCCCAAATAGGAGCAAAGAAAAGTATTAGTAGATAGTAGGTTGTGGCATCATTTTTATCTAACTTTACAGATGAAAAAGTAGATGTCTATCTCCGTTCAAGGGTTGCTGAAGTTGAAATTCATGGATGCTCTATTGGCAACTGGAATTCAGAGTTGGGGCTGCATAATGAATTAGGTGGAATTTGTTGAAGGATATTCAAGTCCCATTGGAGAAGGAAATTATATAAGAAGTAATGGAATTACTCCAAGGCCTTACAATTTGATATTCATTGGTTCCGGGGAGGATTGGGACTGAGGAGACTGTGTTGGTGATAGGCTGGATAACAACTTTTCAGATGGACCATGGTAGCCAAGGCATTTCACTACAGAAGGTAGATCCTAAGTGTCAAGGATGCACAGCTTGTCCAAGTATGACATGTTTTAAACTTCCTTACTCTGAAAAGATAAATATTTTAGTGTTTCAACTAAGATTTTGAGACGTTCTAATAGAATTTGAGTGCTATAAAAGAAGTTCTAAAATTTGAATGCTATATATAAGTTTTGTGAGTTTAGGGGAGCAGATGGTCTAGTTGAGCCATCCATACTGCTTCAAGTTGGGAAATGTTCAATAAAAACCTGACACAAAATAAACCATTTGAATCAAATTCTAGATCATCCATCTGAAACCTGGCAAAACTGGGTGAGGGTGTGGCAATTTTGAATGTTTGGTTTAGAAATGCTCAGCCAGAACATTAGATTAGCCAATTAAGTTAGAAGCCTTTATAAAATAGGAACAGTTTTTTTTTTTCCACTTGACAATATTAGGGGCATAAATGCGATTTAGAGACACTGTCTTTAGATGGTTGGATCTGGCTTCATTATCTACACATTGTCATATGCTTCTACCTGCAAAAGTTTGTTTTGGTATGACTCTTATGAGTCAAGGTTCTTTGCCTAATAAGAGATTATGGTTCTTGCAATTGTACCTTGAGGCCTCAACCAGAACAAAGATGAAATGATGATTGGGATAAAAAAGAGTATATTTTACTTCAAGGTTCTTTTCATACTAAGGCATTTATAATTTGTTTTCTTATCATTCTGGAAGAAATTCTTTTGTTTTAGTGAATACTTTTGATTTCTTAACAGGTACAACATTGATTCACATGATTACTCTGTGCGGTTGAAATCTGCTCAGAAGTTTCTCAAGGATGGGGACAAGGTTGGTCAGAACTTTTCTCATATGAGTCTACAACATGTGTAGATGTTTGGAGTCCGGATCTCCTGCCCACACAAACTCTGTCCACGTTTATCACAGCCACAAATGGAGAACATCTCATCCTCTGCATAGTATTATGCAGGGGGAGATGTTCCCAATTCACGGGTGGTAGCGTGTTGTGGGTAGACGTGGGCAGGAGATCTGGACTCAGATGTTTGTATCATTTAGTTTTCTCCACTCATTACCAAATTGAGATCTCTAAGTCAACTTCTGCAGGTTAAGGTTATAGTAAACTTGAAGGGCCGTGAGAATGAGTTCAGGAATATTGCCATTAAACTTATTAGACGTTTCCAGAATGACATTGGGGAGGTATTGATAATATGCTTGCTTTACTCATAATTCATAAATTAAGAGACGCACTATAATAGTGTAACAAGTTAGTTGGATCTTATTTATAAGTATGCATACATTGTCACTGTCAGGTTCTTGTCCCAAATTTTCAAGATCAGCTATAGCAATTTTATTCCTGCATTTATACTCCATGAAAACATGTATTTTCAGATCCGCTCTCATTACTCCAATTCTTGTCTTATTCATCCAAAGCCCTCTACTGTTGCCTTATTGATTTTTCTTTTGTCCATGACTGTAGTACAACTATAGTAGCAAAGGGATAAAGACGAAACCCACAAAACTACAGTAGCGTCTAAATATAGAAAAGAAAACCCTGTGAACATTCATTTAGTGTAAATACAAGGAAGATGCTCAGGGATGGATTATAGTGGGCTGACAAAAAATGGGCCAGGCTGGGCTGGGCAAGCCTGTTGGGCTACCTGACCCATGAACACGTCTATTCCCAAATGGCTTATAGTGCAAATTGAATTTGGACCTGTCATATTTGGGAATGATGTAGGTCATCTTCACAGCTTACCGAATGGAAGAAAGACAATATGCCCCAGCTCCAGGTTCTTGTTTACTAAATGGCATCTACATTGGACATATATGAAAATGTATACACCATCTAGTTCAATTACTGATAAAAAACATATACATCACCCAGTTTGTACTTTTCACATATTCATCAATATGTATACATGCATCTAGGACTGTATGGGTTATATTTGTTCAGGGTTTAATGACAACTAAATAAACTTGCAGCTTGCAACAGAGGAGAGCAAAAATTTCAGTGAGAGAAACATATTCATTGTTTTGGTTCCAAATAAAGCAGTTATGCAGAAAATTCAGGAACAGCCAAAGAAAAAGGAAAAGTCAGCAGCAACTGAAGTTTCAGCTGGTGTCTGATTGGAATCAATGTTTCAAAGGGTAGTTTCTAGAGGGAGCAGGTAAACTTCATTTTTATTCTTTGAGGAGGATGGAGGTCAAGTAATGTGTATAGTATGTTGTTGTAATACATCTTCCTTTGCCAACAATATATTATTTTATCATAATACAGAAGAAGCCTTTCTGTATAGATACTGGCAGCAATATTCCTCTGCTTTTTCTACTGAATATTTCATCCGTGGACCTAATTCTGAAGGATTCTGCACAAACTTTTGAAATATAAAATACGGAGAAAACATAGATAATCATGTAGTTGGTTGTTGCAGGTTGATAGCAAAAGTTACTATCAAAGCTATTAAATTTAGAATCTTGATCTTAAAATAAGATCGTCTTGCCTCAGTATTGAGATCATGGGCACATACAAGCTGATGAAACTCAGAATTCCTCTTCTTTTCCACTATTTTAATGAGAGAGAGAGAGAGAGAGATAGACCCAGTTTTTTCAACTTCACCTGTTCACTGGTGCCCGTGAAAGACAGTGGCTTTAGACCTGTCAAGTTTTCCCAGTTACTGAGCTCTATCATACATCTTTCTTACCTGGTGCTCATTTTCGAAACAGTCCGGAAAACTCTGACAAGTTTCTACAAGGTTCAAAGCAATGTTATCTGCGGTATCAGGTCCCCTCCACCGGGGAGTTGGGATCTGTCCCAATACTCTTCCAACATGATCTCTGTCTGCACATCTCACCTGAAGTACCCTTCCAACATGATCTCCGGGGAGTTGGGACTCACGATGCATGAGATGTGTGGACATGGGTCATGTTAGTACATGTTAGAATGGATTGCTGAGAGGAGATTCAGACTTACACGGGAGTAAACTTTGGGGATGATAAAAATGGTTAAGTACACAGCACTCCACTGCAGAAATCTGAAATTACAGCCCCCCATAGTTTACTAGTAGTTTCCTCTATAAATCGAATCCTGCCTGTGGATTTGGCATCGATCCACGATCGAGATTCATYCCACCTGTAMGTGGGGCTAAGAATTCTGGGGTGGGCTGAACAGTGATTCTCCCTAATAAAAATACATGCACTGGCAATCTGGCCTCTCCAGAATTGTAAGGGTAATAAGAGATGAGGAAGGAAATGTGTGTTTTTTTCTCAGGCCCAATTGAGCAAGGTGATGTTGCCACACCAGAACTCATTTTATTTTTTTGGTAAAGGCCACACCAGAACTCTAGGCAGTAGTTTTTGGAACCGAGAAAGCTAAAGAATTGAGTTTTGAAAGGACAATTATTGAAAGTGATTCCAAAATAATTGTGGACTGCTAAAGGGGAAATGAGTGTCTTGGCACCTAAGGAATGATTTCAGGTGGTTCAAATGGCTTTTTTAGGGCATGTTCATTCAAGTTAATGGGGTTAGAGGATGATTTCAGTTAAATTAATAGTCTAATTTATAATAAATAATAATATTTTAATTTTCAATAATTTTTGAAAATTTATAGCAAAAATATACAATTATTGAAAATAAATTTATAATGAAAATATAATATATATTTAATAAAAATATAATAATTACAAAAATATAAAAAATACTGAAAGTATATTAAATTAGTTAATAAATAGTGTAATATCAAGTAAATATTAATCAGTAAATTATAAAAATACATAATTACTAAAAATAAATTTTTAAAAATACAATAAATACGATAAATTAAATTACAAAAGTGAAATAATAGTTTTTTAGTCTTCAATAGTTATTGACAAATTTCTGTTAAATACAAAACAAAAATAGATTTATTAATAATTATTGAAAACATATTTATCAAAAAATACAGTATACAATTACTAAATATAAAATAAATATTAATTTTAGTTTATATATATAATGAATATACACTATTATTATAAAATTATTACTAATAAATGTTATTTTTTTGAAAGTTATTTTATATAATTATTAATTGATATAAAATTATAATTAATACTATTATTAAAAATTTGTTATTAATTTTATAAAATATTAAGATTTTATTAATACGAATATTATGAAATCTATTATAATTATTTTTTTTTACTTTTAAGATTTTTTATTTAAATTTATTACATAATTTTTTTATTTTAACTATTTAAAATTTAGTCATGTTAAGTATTTCATTATTTAAATATTTAAATAATATGTAAAATATTATAAATTTTCATTATTTGAATTTTATTTATTTTATTGTTATTATGTAATATTAAATATTTTTTTATATAATTATTTATCTATTTTTAATGTTTTGTTATTTGAGATATTTAGTTATTGTAATATTTAAATAATGTTTTATTTTTTAATGTTAAATTTTTATTATTTGAATAACATTTAAATTGAATAATTCGTAAAATTTTAATTTATTTTGTTACAACATAATTTCATGATGAACTTTGTATATAGAATTATTAATAATATGAATACTATTAAATCTGTTATAATTAATTTTTGTGTTTTGAATAAAAAAATTTAAAGTTAGTATATAATTTCATTATAATATTTAAATAATTTTATAAATTTTAATTGAAACTTTCTTTAAATAGATATAGATAAAAAGTGAGGTAGAGGATAAATAGGAATTAGAGATAGTTTAGGAGGAAATCTCTTACTAAATAGATAGTTTAAAAGATAAATAGGAGTTAGAGATAATTTAAGAGATAAATAAAAATTAGAAATAATTTTGAAAAAAATAGGAGAAAATAGGAAAAAATGATACAACTTAACTAAATATTAAAAAAACAAATCCCTCATTTTTTATGGTTATTAGAAATAGTTAAGCTTATGTTATTTTTTGATTAATTTAATAGATAATTATGTGAAATTAAAAAATTCAAAACACCAAAAAATTAGAAAGTAGAATTTGGAGCATGGCTTGGTATATATATATAAATAATAGACAACCATCAGTTCAATAATAACGAACATTCGATAAAGTTCTAGAGATAATTCTGGTTAAGTTTCCAAAGTTAAATTGTCAACAGATATTTAGAGAAGCATCTCGACAGAGATGTCTCTGGTCTCTTCTACAGAAATCTCGAACGTTCACATAATCTCCTCAACGGACATATAAATTCCTCCACCCCTCCATGATCGAATCAGTCTCAAACAACAACCAAATTTCGAATAAATACAAGCTCTCTGTAAATTCTCCATTCCGTCTTCTAATCTCTGCTGTATCACAATCACTCTTTCTTCTCCGTTCTTTCCTTGATCGTTGTTACAGCTTATCCACTGACAGCCAACGCATCTGACGCATTTCGTGATCAAGGTTCGAGAAATAAAAAATGGTGGCTATGAGTGGTAAGGCCATCGGTATCGACTTGGGTACCACTTACAGTTGTGTGGGAGTATGGCAGAACGACAGGGTCGAGATCATCGCCAATGATCAAGGCAATCGGACTACACCTTCTTACGTTGCCTTCACCGACACCGAAAGGTTGATCGGTGATGCAGCGAAGAACCAAGTCGCCATGAACCCAGCCAACACCGTGTTCGACGCGAAGCGTCTCATTGGTCGACGGTTCTCCGACCCATCTGTCCAGAGTGACATGAAGCTATGGCCTTTCAAGGTTGTTCCCGGGCCGGGCGACAAGCCGATGATCGTTGTTCAGTACAAGGGCGAGGAGAAACGGTTCGCTGCTGAGGAGATATCTTCCATGGTGTTGACCAAGATGAAGGAAATTGCAGAGGCGTATCTGGGTCAGACTGTCAAGAACGCTGTCATCACGGTGCCTGCTTATTTCAACGATTCTCAGAGGCAGGCCACGAAGGACGCCGGAGCAATTGCTGGACTTAACGTAATGCGGATCATCAACGAGCCCACTGCAGCAGCGATTGCTTACGGCTTGGATAAGAAGGCGTCAAGGTCTGGCGAGAAGAACGTTCTCATCTTTGATTTGGGTGGTGGAACATTTGATGTTTCTCTGTTGACGATCGAGGAAGGAATTTTCGAGGTAAAGGCCACAGCTGGAGATACTCATCTCGGAGGTGAGGACTTCGACAACCGGTTGGTTAACCATTTCGTTGCAGAGTTCAAGAGAAAGCACAAGAAAGACATTAGCGGCAACGCGAGGGCTCTGCGGCGGTTGAGGACGGCCTGTGAGAGGGCAAAGCGGACTCTGTCCTCCAGCACGCAGACCACCATTGAAATTGATTCTCTTTATGAAGGTATCGACTTCTATTCCACACTCACTCGAGCACGGTTTGAGGAATTGAACATGGACCTGTTCAAAAAGTGCATGGAACCAGTGGAGAAGTGCCTCCGGGACTCAAAGATCGACAAGAGCCGGATCGATGACATCGTCCTCGTTGGTGGGTCGACCAGAATTCCCAAAGTGCAACAGCTACTGCAAGATTTCTTCAACGGGAAGGAGCTCTGCAAGAGCATCAACCCCGACGAAGCCGTAGCATATGGTGCCGCTGTTCAGGCTGCAATTCTAACCGGAGAAGGAGACCAGAAGGTCCAGGACCTGCTGCTCCTCGATGTCACTCCTCTCAGCCTTGGAATTGAGACCGCCGGAGGTGTGATGACCGTCTTAATTCCAAGAAACACAACAATCCCAACGAAGAAAGAGCAGATTTTCTCTACCTATGCCGACAACCAGCCCGGTGTCCTGATTCAGGTCTACGAAGGCGAGCGTTCGATGACCAAAGACAACAATCTGCTTGGCAAATTTGAGCTCAAAGGAATCCCTCCGGCACCAAGAGGCGTCCCACAAATCAATGTGTGCTTCGACATTGACGCCAACGGAATCCTGAACGTCTCAGCCGAGGACAAGACTGCCGGAGTGAAGAATAAGATAACAATTACCAATGACAAGGGAAGGCTGAGCAAGGACGAGATCGATAAGATGGTGAGGGATGCTGAGCGGTACAAGGCTGAAGACGAGCAAGTGAAGAGGAAGGTGGAAGCCAAGAATTCATTAGAGAATTATGCATACAGCATGAGGAATACAATTAGAGAAGAGAAATTTGCAGGGAAATTGAACCCGGCAGATAAGCAGAAGATCGAGAAGGCAATCGACGAGGTGACGGATTGGGTTGACAGGAATCAATTGGCAGAGGTGGATGAGTTTGAAGACAAACAGAAGGAGCTGGAGGGGTTGTGCAACCCAATCATCGCGAAAATGTATCAGGGGAGCGGCGATGTGCCAGGGGGTATGGGTGCTGGTACCAAGATGCCTGCAGGAGAGTATGGTTATGGCCAGAGCAACCATGGTGGGACTGGTGCAGCAGCTGGGCCTAAGATAGAGGAGGTTGACTGAAGGGATGTAGTTGGATTTTGCTATTAAGGTGGTCGTTTTTTTTTTTGTTTTTTGAGTTATGTTCTGTTTTTTCTTCTGTGTTTTTGAGATCTGTCTGTTGAAGAAGGTGAGGAAGACTTGATTTTGGGTTGTTTGAAGAAAAGAATAGGAAAGGAAAGGACCCATTAATACTTGTAATGTAATACCATTACCATTGCAAAGAAGGCCGTAAATTTCCCAATGTTTTTGAGAACTTGCTAATTTTTAAGAAATAGGCTTATATCAATATGAAGATATTGAATGATAAGGAACCCTTCCAATTAAGACCAAAGGTCTCTATGCAATTTAAAATTCAAATATAAAATACCCAAAGTTGACTTTTTTTTTTCATGGTTTTTAAAACCGACCAGGTTACCAAATCGGTCAAGGTCCGGTTATCCAATCTGAACGGTCGGTCTGTTCTGACAAAAAAAAATTAAAAATAAAAAATTTAAAAAATGGTCAAAACCATTCAAATGGTTCGAATGGTTAATCGATTGGTTCAGTGGCTTGTTGACCAAAATTAACGGTTTTGAGAAAAAAAAGCGATTTTGAGGAAAAACGGAATTGGTCAAGTGATCAGTTTCCGGTTTTTTCGGTCTGACCGTTCAGTCTGATCCGGTTTTGAAAACCATGTTTTTTTTCATTAATATTCTAATAATCTATTCCCATCCTTTTCTTGTTGTATGTATGGACTTCCTGATAATTCTAGAGAACTTAAATGCTTATTAAGACCTTTATGAATTTGGTCATAAAAATTGCCATTGAAGGGTGATTTTATCATAAAAATTGTTATTTATAGTGATGTGGATACATTTTTAAGAAATGTTAATGGTGCATTAACAGAAGGTGAGTTTCAGAGGAAAATAAAATTTACATGATGAATTTTAGATATTTTGAAAAGTTATGCTAAATTTAAGAGAAATGCTGAAAATTCATGATGAATTTTAGATAATTTCCCTAAAATCTAAGATTTACAATGGCATAGTAGTTTTGGATTTATGAAAGCTTTTAAATGTAACCTTTCATCGCAGGGAAAGAAGTCTGTGATAAAACAAAACACGTGATAGGTGTAGTAGGGGTTGTCTGCTATTTTCTATTTTTTTGTGGTTATTTTAGACTATCTTTTATTTATTAATTTATATTTTGTTTTAATTTTTTATCATTTTCTTCTATTTTCTGTATCATTTTATTTTCAGTTATGCTTTATTTTATTAACTTTTTACCATTATCTATTTTGTTTTCATTCCTATAATTTTTTTTTAAAGCACCATTATGGATGGGCAAATTAAAGCACCAGTATGGTATCATCAATTTCCGTTGGGTTACGGACTCCACATTAACCGAACCGAAGTGGTAAATATTAAGGGGATGTTTGGAACCGCCACGTCGGATCCATATAGACGTTTTAACAAACACCCATATATATGAATGTTTGGTTCAGGCATTTATTGAAAAATTGGGTAAGTCTTGTAAATCGGTGAACCGTTTCCCCCAATGGTTGACTGATGTGTATCCTATGTGGTGCTTACCTATCAGCATGTGCATGAAAAAAGGTGATGGAAATCACCTTACCAAACAGTATACTGTTGCTTACTATCTACGTGGCAGAAGCGTTTTTTAGTGAAATACGGATTTTGGAAATCTGAACGTTTTTTCTTGAAAATCAGTCCAAAAAAGCGTCCGCGCTTCCAAACACCATCTAAATAAGTATAAAGTAACTCAAACATCAGGGTAAGTTAGCATAAGTTTATATATTATTTAAAATGTACTGCAGGCCAGGCCAGGTCAGTCCTTAACTATTGGGTTCAGGTCCAAGCTTGGAACCTCTAAGCAATCACCTTTAGACGTCAACAAGTCTGGTTCAGTATTGATTTGAGCCAAATCCAAACAAAATAGGCATTTAACTCAGTACAAGTCAAGGTTCAAAGTATTGGAAATAGCAAGTGTATCGGATATGCAATTTTAAGAAATGTATTGGGATATGTCTTGGATATGCATGTGTATCGAAGAAAAATTAAGATACGCATAGATACACATGGAAACACTATAAATACTTCAATAAATCATAAAAATTCAACAATAATACTAAATATAAAACCTCAAAGAGGTATATATATACATTAAATTAATATATTTTAAATTTTTAATGGTTTCATGAAGAAATACATTGTAGTTAGTTATAATTTTATTAAAAAACCTATGCTGAACTATAATTTATAAATTATAATTCTTAAGTTTTATGGGATGGCGTTGAACCATAAAACATGCATTGGCACAATTTATAAGTGAAAATATAACTAATAATTATTATTTATTATTTATTTTAAAAAATAAAAATTAAAAAATAAATAAACATTGTACAATATATTTGAAAAATAKTTATTAAAGAAGAAATTTCAATTGCTTTATAAATATGATAGATCATCCATAGAATTATAATATATCCAATCTATATGATCAAAAGACAAAATATAATTAACTATTAATTATTTTTAATTTTAAAAATATAAAAATAACAAACAATTATTAAAGAAGAAACTTCAATTACTCTATGGATATAATAGATCATCCATAGAATTATAATTTTATTCAATCATTGTGATTAAATGATAAAATATAATTAATTATTATTTATTTTTTTATTCTAAAAATATAAAAAATAAAAAATAAAGAAAAAATGCAATTACTCTATGGATAACTCTATGGATATGATAGATAAATCCATAGATCTAAAACATATCAAGTCTTTATATGCGGAGAAAAAATTACATTTTCAATTTTTTTTTTAATTTATATTTTCCCCAAATATCTTCATGAAATTTCCATAGAACTACTCGTAACACACAAAATTGTGATTATGAATGCAAGAAATGTAGATCAATGTAGATTTAAACATTTAAGAAAAAATCACAAGATATTATAAAAAAATGAAAAAACTTGCCTAATTTTGTCATATTTTTTCAATATTTAAGAAATCTTCAAAAAAAAAAAAATCCACACTTGTTTCTTACAAATTTTTGCATATTTAGAACTCTAGGAGTGAGGTTTCGAGCATTAGAGTCATTCACTCATTTGGAGTGAAAGAAGGCTTATTTCAGGGGAAAGAAGCTTGCTTTCCCTCTTTATTTTTTTTTTTTAGTTTTTGGCCGTATCTTTTACATAGCGTATCTGTTGATACGCCCGATACACCCCCGATGCGGTACAATATAGTGGAAAAGAGATGACACCACCGATTTTCCACTGTATCTTGTATTGGACATTTAAAGATACAATATGATATGCTCCATATCGGGTGTATCGTATCGAAATTTAAAACCTTGAGAGGATATGTTAACAATTTGGCAAATGATCTAGCTAAGAAAGGTGTTTCTTTGAGGGGGGGGGGAGGTTTAGACACTTTGAGGCTATTTGTTTCTGATGTAACCGTTTTTGGTCACGTACCATTTTTTGGGATGTGTAAAATTTTTTGGCTAAGTACCTCGTGTTTGACCTAGTGGTGACGTGCCTTGGTGATGAGCTACTTGGTGGCGAACTTCCCGGGGGAGAACTGC